CAGTAATTTGCCAGCCCAATACAGTAAACTACGCAAACGTCGTCAGGTAAAAAGAGAGTCCTGTTGCCTTTTGCCCCTAACCGTGTGCTAGAACATATTAATTCGTGCGTTCCCATCCACAGCTCATATTTGCATCAACCGAAGTGGCTTTAATTAAGTTTAGTGATTTCACGTTCTCGATGCTCGTTCCACCAAGTGTCATTTTCTTCGCAGAAATAAATAGCTAACTCTGTAAGTTTTCTGAGCTCACTTGGTGAGCCAGTATGAGTTGGATGGGACTGAGATTTGTGTTTGTGCAATGGTTGCGCCATCCCTCTCCCCCCAAATGCTGGTTGCTTTGGGACGCCGCGGCAAGATGTCTCACTGGAGGAGGCCTATTACAAGTCGGTGCCAAGCTGTGTCATCCGGTTTTGGGAGCATTTTCTGCCAGAAGCTAAACCAGCTGCGAATGCGGCGGGCAGAAGAGAGCGCGCGATCGCCAACTCGGAGGCACTTTGATGAGAGGAATACTCAGTTTGCCTGCACACGAGCAGTGTGTCCTGCGCACTTGCACGTAAACGGTGGCCCAGTTCGTATTAAATGAGTGTGACATTTGCATGACACAGGGGGGTGGAACAACACAGTGCATCAGGCGCTTTCGTCTGTAAGCAAGCCTCTTGAAGTCACAGGCAAGTTAGCGTACCGCCGCCATAGAGACTTGTATGCACGCTCGTTCACGGCGCGGATCGATCGGGAAGCAGTCTGCCATTGGTCCTCTCTTCGAGGGAGAGAACGCTTCTGTTGTTTGTGTGCAGCATCAAACCGACACACAGCGTGATACCCCACTGTGTGCCTGTTTGTGGTATGGGCCCGTATTTAGACAGGCAGGAGAGCGATGTGCAAGCGTTGCAGTCGGGTGAATTTGCGATTGTTTTCCTAGTCGTATGCATTTCCAGGTGCTTGTAGTGCTTGAAGCAAAAGCTATCCACTGCTGTTAAAAAAATTACACTAAAGCGCTGTTTCGAAATGGCGGACTGCTTCCCTTTCGAGACTTATTAGTTCACCCCCACGGGTCTCCTCGAAATGCTCACATCGGCGAGTGCATTTGAAGGACGTTGCATCGATATTTGTGAGAAATACTAGCTCGTAAGATGGTGCTGGCAAGCTCAACCAAAGAAAAGAGCGCCACTTCAATGGCGGTGTGTGTGTGCCCTGCCCTTGAAACGTGCCACACGGCAGATGTGCTGGATCAACAGGGGGTCTAGATCGGGGCCTGGCAGGCGCTATGAGGACTGCGCGCCCATAACAAATGTCAACGGTGTGGTGTGGTGGCAGGTCCAATTGTCGGTTCACAACGCGCCAGTTAAAGTCTGGGCCATCTCCTTGCGCTAAAAGCTGTGGTTTGGAAGTTTGCCAACTGACGGGATAACTCGCACCTGGCAGTCAGCACATCGTGTCACTTGGGCGGAGTGGCGGACTGATGGACTGACAGTCCGGCGGCAATGTCCCCTTCTTCATGTGGCCTCTATGACACTCCCACCTAGTGCGATCCTATCCACCTCCCTCCTCTCTTGTTTTGCAAAATCCTGGCAAGTGTAAGTAGTAGACCAGGGTGTCTGGTGATAGGCCCACGTGTGGGTTTTTGCCGTTTCTGCCTCCTGAGGCCTCTCCCGTCTCCAGTCTTCTTGATTCTGTCATGACATGAGTCACAGGAGGCGGAGGAGGGCAGAGCGCGGTAGTTGCGACGCAAGTTCTCTATCGCTGTAAAATGGATCACGTGTCAGTTTCGGTCCCTGCCCTCACCATGTTGTGGAGCACACGGCGTGCTCTGTTGGTCACGGTGGTTGAACTGTCGTGCGCGTTGCCGCGCCAATTTTCCAAATCGGGTGCTTAGGTGGGTGCAAACTTCTCGAAGAAAACGTTAACTAAGTCCAAACTTGAATCACAGGAAGTTGTGTGTTTTCTGGTTTATGCTGCGCAATTCATATAACACACCGCCGTCATTAATCAGTTCTGTTCCAAACGCACTCACAAGCGCGTTCCAATTTAAGACCGCTATCTTCTAGCTGTAATTTGCACACCTCAAGCGAGTACTTTCTGTGGTACATGATCCTATGAAACAGATCCTTCTTTTGCTGACCACAAGTAGTAGTTTTGCCTTCTTGTTCCAGTAAACTTTAATACTGTTATGCATATAATTACCTATTAGAAATACCACTGGTGGATGTGTTTATCCCTTCGGTCACGTCTCCTGGAACGCGCGATTTATAAGGTCTCATTTTTGTCCCAAATTTAACGAGCTGTATATTGTGTCTTATTAATAGTGTATAGAAAGACTTAATTTTCCTTATTTGAAAGCTATACATCTTGTAGTTTGGAAACCTATAATGCAAATGCAACGACAGTTTAGGTGCAAATTTATTCGGAAATTTAGAAAAGTTTTGAATAACGACTTATGTTGTTTTTAAGCATAAAAGTTAAAGAAGATGTAATTTGCTACCCAAGGAGTGAAAGACGAATATTCTTGTGCATGTTTTCTATAAAATATACATATGGAGATTGACCTATGTGTTCCCCGGGGCAGGACATTGAAAAGTGTGTGACGCGCCTATGTAATAAGTGTCGACCTGCGCCCAATTCCGGGAGAGCAAAACGTTCTCGTGTCCTAACACGAATACTAACCCTAATGGAAATCTACTCAGTTGCCCTAATCTTAACCCTAACCCTACTCCAAACCTTGACTCCGCGGCTAACGCTAGCTCTTACCTTACTATTGGCTTAGGACCTGGCCTTCGACCTAGCCCTCGACTTAGCCCCAGTCCTAACCTAAAACCTAACCGTAGTTTCACTTGAAGTTGACTTAAAATCACCCATGTTGCACGCGGTTCCTCTTCTCGTGTCGCCTTTAGGGTGCTATATAAGTCAGTCCCGCAAAATATATTTTAATTTACCACGCACCGAAAAGCAATGAGAAAAATTCATACTGCTTAATTAGCGATTTCTGCAGTCTCGCATTTGTAGATAGCCAGGAAAAAACTTTGTCCAAAAACCGGCATCCTCATGGGGCCGAAATGGCTTGAAATTATGTTTCAGGATTTTCAATATTATAATCGCACTTATGTCATCTTTTGGAGTCGAATACGTGTTGCGGAATTTCAGTTAACATTTCATGAGATAGCACATCTACTGTACACAAATAAAATAAAAATGTACTTTCAACGGGAAGTGATAAAAAAGACATCGCGGTGGTTGTTATGTGAGGATGGTCAAGATGCTCTAAAGTAGTCATCAGAGTAAAAATACGATAATGCAGTATCTTAAAGCGGCCATCTGAACAGAATTTGTGACCGTGTACCGGTGTTGTTTTTCATTGTTAATGTGCGAAATCCCCAACTGTTGGTCACTGTGTCGTGGATTTCGACGTATTTCTTACTTACTCCTGATTGTGTTACATACTCCCGGACAGAAACGTCGAACTCTTCCGATCACAGAACCGGTTTTAGGGCTTCTTCTTGCGTAATTTGTTGTTTCGCATCCCACCATAACGGACTGCCTTAGCCGATTGTTTGGTTGGAACAGCTCCAGGTTGCATTTAATTTCTTCTTTGGTTACACTCTTACATCCCCTGCACCCTGCAGGTAAATTATGACTTGGCTTATATCCAATCTATGACAGGATTTTACACGGCGGCTTGAACCAGAGGCAGAACGTGGTCACTGAGGCCTTCAGACCCGTCCTCAAATAGGTGTTTGGAGCCAGTCCAGAGGATACTGCATTTCGTACAGAAAGGTTGGAGAGACCTTTGGAATAAGTTCGCGGTAGGACGAGAGAGAGAGCATGCCCAACACTTTGAGAGCGGCGTCCCAAGTAATAGTGGGGGAATGAATCCTGGCGCCAAAAGCGAGAGCATGTTTCAGCCGGTCTTGAAGTGGATTGGCTGGCTCGGACAGCCGTGGTTGGCCGAGAACCAGACTGTCACTGATTCGCGCGTGCAAGTAATAGCGAGAGGTACGGCATTGCAATAGACGCTCCGGAGCAACGGGCACTATAGTGGCACACTTCCCAGACCGGAGTTCGGGTGAGAAATCCGAACGAATAAAGAGCAGTTAAATAGAGTGACTGAGAACAGTAACAACGGTGGCGGTAAAGGAAGCTTGAGAGGCTGCATCTGGCAGGAAGGAGCCGGGATAATAGGGAGCGGCTGGAGAAAGCCGGTGGTTGAGTAGAAAGTCAACGGCAAATCTGTATGCCATGTCGTTATTTTTTAAGGGGACCCGGCAGTTTTTCTAGGTACTGCTAGTTCGTAAATTTATTGTACTGTTTTTGTTCTGAGACGCATGTAAGAAGGAGATGGGTTGCGCTGCCCATGCAGATAGTTGTCCGAACTCAAACTGGGCAGGTTTCGCAAATGTCTAATTGACAATTATGTGAGATTGGAAAACCCTGTCGTCTGGTCACAATGCTTTATTACATAACAATCTCCTATTCAGACTTTTATATGAATTCTTATACTCCACGTGGAACATGGCAGATGTTACAATCTTTCTCGACTTTTTATGACTGGTGACTGATACCTAGTTTTAATCGGATAAGTTGAACTATGCTATTGACCTTACTGCACTGGCTGGGAACCATGATCAACGGTCATTACTTCGGCGGCCGCTTAATTTGCTTTGATGTCCACATAACTCGAGGTCAGTAACCCTATCGCGAAGGCTCCAACTTCAGAAAAAATTTGATCTTGTACTTGGCAGGCTGAACTCTGGGCACTCAAGGAACATCAGCTCGAGCAGAAGTGCATTTCAACAGTCACGACTATCCTCGACAGTTTGGCCGTCGTTTCCGACGATGTCCGCCGTATGCTCGTCGAAAGGTTATGGCGGTTCGGCCAACGAGGAGTTCCAAACCAAAAGTCAAGGAAGAAGGATTGGGTGGGTGTCCACCGTTGAGGTTCTTACCCCCCCCCCCCACGCCAGCGCATGTGTGCACCACTGTTCTGTCTGATCTGTAACCGCCTGCAGTCAATCAGAGAAGGGACAGCGCCGATTGGCTTCGAGCACTCGCGGGGCGAGCGCCAAGCCTCGTGCGGTCCCAGCAGAGAATTGACAGGGCGGGAGGCGAAAGAAAAGTTGCATGATAAAGCGACGACGACGACGACGACGACGACGACGACGACGACGACGACGACGACGACTATCACACGCTGTCACAGCACCCCATGGGCTAGACAGGAGGCGGTTTGTAGGGACTTCGACGGAATTATTCATGTTTAAAAAGATGATTAACCAAACAGTCAGGGAAGCAGACGTGACGCCTACCGTGGGCACAGGAGAAGAGTGAGTGTGATGCGGCTGGAGGTTGATGAGGAATCTGCAGCTGGGGGAAGCGGGCACAGAGGAAGACGAAGAAGTATATGGGGTGAAGGGACGGAGGTAGGCGAGGTGGAGCAGGGGGTAGGAGAGCATGGGGCTCATACAGAGAAGTTATTTGTTAGTCAACTTTTTTCTACTTCATCCACCACCTCCTCTCCTTTTCCTTCTGCTGAACTGTGGAGGAATCTCAAGCGTCTCACTGGTCAACGTAATATACTTAAACCCATTGACGTAGATTTAAACTCTTTAAATCGGAATTTTATCTGTACTTCTAACGTTTCCCCTTCTCGCCCAAACGAAATTTACCTACCACCATGTGACCTCACTCCTGTGACTGTGACAACAGTGGAACAACATCTCAAAAAGATTCGCGGGTCAACGGCGGCTGGGCCGGATGGTGTCTCTCTTTTTCTCCTTTAGTCTTGCTGTTCGCAGACAGCTCCCGTCTTGACCCACCTTATTAATCTATCCTTCATAGAGTCCAAGATTCCTGACGCCTGGCGTACAGTAAGAATTACTCCAATCCCTAAAAAATCTTTAACTTTTGCTCCTAAATCTTTCCGTCCTATTGCCTGCTCTTCTGCAATCCTGAAACTTACTGAACGAGTTGCATTAGATTCCTTTAAGTACTCCTCCGTCAAGTTTTCTGATCCTCTACAATTTGCATACAAGGCAAAGCGTAGCACCTTGCATGCTGTTGCTTTAGTTGTTCATTCAGCTTTGAGAGACTTAGACAAGGGATGCCGTGCATATGCATGTGCTTTTCTCGACTACTCATCCGCCTTCAACACTATTCCGCGCCAACTCCTCCTGACCAAAGCAGCTGCCTGCGACACTCCGAGCTGGGTTGTCTCTTGGCTTAGAGATTATTTTTCCTCCCGCACTCAGTTTGTCCAGTCGGGGAAGAGAAAATCTTCTATTCTTCCAAGTAATTGTGGAGTTCTACAAGGTTCCATCTTATCCCCTCATCTTTTCTCCCTACATACTGATGATTTGAGATCGCCAAACGACTGCCTGTATGTTAAGTATGCCGATGACATGGTCGTAGGCCACCCACTCAAAAACCTGACTCACCTACAGTCTTTAAAGGATGGCTTAGATCACGTCTCCGCATGGTTTTCGAATAATGGACTCTTACTCAACAATCAGAAATCAGCACAGTGTGTGTTTCGATTGCGACCCTCTCCCATTCCTGAACCTTTGGATATTCTTCCCAATGAGGTGTCTTCTTTCCGGTACCTAGGTGTTACTTTATCCTCAAATCTCTCTTTCTCTCTTCATATGGAAACCCTTTTAACAAAAATTCAAAAACTTGTTTATTACATTCGTCGTCTACGTTCATATCACACACCCCAGTCCTCAATCTGGCGATTCATAGATGGCTGTATTCTTCCACTCATTCTTTATTGTTCTCCAGTTATTTTTCCAGCTTTACTTAAAAAAGGTCTAATTATTTTTAAACGTGTCATTCGAATGCTCGCCTCTGCTGCTGGTGTTTCCTATCATATTTTAGTTGATATCATCGTGCAGCGACACTTCAACTCGGTGGAGCAATTCGCTGACCGAATTCTGAATGACACCGTCCATCCCCTTCATAATGAGTTAATGGCTGCGAAATCCTTAGGCCCCATGCGTCGATGCTTCCGCCACATCCCTTGCCGCACTTCGGCCTATCGGAATTCCATACTGCCATTTCTAGCCCGGTATCTCACCTGCAAAGATGTTGAAAAACAAAAACTAAAACTCGAACTTGCATCTTAAAGTCCTTTTTTCTTCATATATAAGTATGTCCACCTGTCCAATACCTGTTAATCTCTATGGTAATCACTGTGTACCGGAGAACCGTTTTTGCTGAAAGTTTTGAAAGTTATTTTCAAAATAAAGCATTCCTCTCTCTCTCTCTATCTCAAAAAGTGTCCAATCCACGCACACGACCTCTTTGCGTGTCTCGCGTTGGGTGCAGACCGTCCTCGTTCCACGAGAGATAACATGGAAGGGACCTATCGCGGATGCCTAAGCCATGATTGACACCCTGGCTATCTCGACCTTCCGTGCCTCCGGTGTAGGGAGAGTGGCGTCCCGAGTATGTGTCAGGGAATGCGTCAAAGATTCTTAGGCCAGGGCAGGTCTGAATCGGCCTTGAGTCTGATTGGCCAGTTGTGCAGCCGTGTTTTACTTCTTTATCGGTGAGCGCTGGTAACAACATCTCCGTCTAAAAGCCGTTTGGGTAGTCGCTCATCGTTCAGTTTATTTGAGGGAAATGTAGGTCTGCACCTTTGAACTGCCTATTTGTTTACAAGCAACGTAAACATCTCAAAAATTGGAAGAGGTTACAGGAAGGTAAAAAAATAATCGGGAAAGTGAAAATTCCGTACATATAGGCAAACTGTGTCGGGTGTTAGTGGTAAAAGCTGTGGTACAGTACTCGTTTGGAGTACAGTGAAATAAATAATATCTCAAGTGACAAAATTTGCATAGGTGCATGACAGCAAGCGTAGGCGATGGCTTCGATGCAATAAGAAATTTCATTAAAATGTTACTGAGATATAGCAAGTAGCATTATTACAACAGGATTTTCAAGGTTACAGAGGTCGGGTGGTAATTTAGAAGACACTGCTATACAAATCTAGCTTTCTCTTAAAGGCCTCGACGGAAGCTTCAAGCACTCTGTTAGAGAAGAAGAACTTTCGTGTATCTAGCCTGACCCCGGAACACGTAGTTTGAATGGATGACCTCTAAGTTTCAGGATTGTCCCCCGGTACAAGGCTGCAGTCCTGACCGCGTATGATACGGAATTTTTGTATCAGGTCATCCCGTAGCTGCGTATAACTGAAGGGAATGAGATCAAGATTAGCTAACCGTGTTTAATAGAGACGTGAATCCTGTCCTTTCACAAGATTCGTTGGGAGGTTTCGTGGACGCCGAGTATTTCAATCCGTTCCAGAACTACCGTGTACAGAATCCTATCCTATCATCTCAGATTTAGGATTCTCCGAAGGCAACTTAAGTGAAGGTAATTGAGTTTCCGCACTTGCTTCCTGTAGGCTGTACAGCACTCTGCTCCATCAAGCTGACAGCCTTCTACATTTTGAGTTTAATATTGAGGTGGAGACCGTGGCGACTCCATACTGCGTTCTGCAGCCGACCAAAGGCCTGGCTGGCTTTTGAGATCGCGTGGGCCACTTCGACGTCGATGCTGATGCAATGTAGTGTGCTAGCTAAATAGGCGAAATTGTCCATGGTTTGCATCTGGGTGCCGTTGTCGTAGATGCGAGGAACGACGTATGTAGCGTTGGCTGGCGTCGATTAATACATGACCAACGTTTTGAACGTGTTTATGTTCAGTCCGAAGTTGGCGCAGCAGGAGGCGAAGAAATCCATGCACCGCTGCGTGCTTGTTTCTGTCGCGGTGTTGAGCACGCAATCGTCCGCGAAGTGCAGACCATGGACAGTAGTCGTGGAAAAAGGGATTGGGGTATGCATGCGTCGGATAGTAAGAAGATGGCCGTCGGTCGCGTAGACGTTGCGGATTCCGGGCAGCCCATAACGTTAGGCACCCGCCGGCAGGGCAGAAAACATGAGGTTGGAGATGGTGGGAACGGGTACGCAGACCTTGTTCACACCATTGGCCACTGCTGATGCCTCTGAAAATGTCACATTTTGCGTGACACGCATCATCATTCAGTGGTCGAGCTGATGTATCATGCCCCCTAATCGTTCGGGACAGCTGAAGTTGTGCACTATTTTCCACGGTTCATCGCGATTCGCCTTGTCGAAGGCTTTTATCCTGTCTACGAAGGTGATGTGGTGGTTGGTCCGCATTTTCTGGCACTTCTTTTGTAGATGGCGGGCGGCGAAGGTAAAATAACTAAGTAAATTTTTATTAAAGACCCGTCGGAGTTATAATCATGTCAGTTGTTCAGCGGTATCGTTCACGTCCACACTGGCTTTCTGAGAGAAGTCTCTGTTTTAAATGACCGAAGAGTTAGTTGAGGAGGATGCGAACGAAAATCTTTCTGGTGAGGTTGGATTGTGAGATACCTCTCTGAGTATTACAAATTCGCTGGCTGCCTTTCTGTTTAGAATAATGGACTATAATAGTCGCGTCCTTAAAATCCTGGGGTACTTGTCCTTGTTCTTTAGCTGGCAGGCGAAAGGTGTTGATGAGGAGGAGACTGTGTTCTGTGCAGGCATGGAGAAGGAGGGGGTCGAAGTCGTCGCAGCCGTCGATTCCATGGAACCTCAGCACTCCGACTTGGTTTGGTTTGAAAGCAGTCCGGCTTAATCTGAGCCGCCTAAGAAACTTCATGTTCTCCCCTCCGTAGGACCTTTGAAGTAAAAGGGGGAAGGGGATGTGAAGCGGAGGTAGGGAAGGGGGTAGAATAACCGAGCACGGGTCCACACACACACACCATAGGATATCCGTACATGGTTTAGCCCGGCGGTCGATACGGTTACCGGGGTATGGTTGATAGCAGAGCTAGGTTTCCAGGACCCGCAGAAGAGAGGTGGATGCTAGTTAAGGACCGTGAGGAGCAGTCACCATTTGAACGATGTGACTCATCATCCCTGCGCGGATGCCTCTTAACTGGATGCCACTGCCAGCACCGTCACACTTATCCACATTTCACTCGACCAAATATTCCATCGGCCAGTGCAACACCGACCACTAGGCACATCACGCATCCGGTAAAGGAACTCAAATTTCAAGGCAAATGCGGTCTCCACCTGGCTCCCAAGTAGTTATAACAGCTGACACCGAGATCTCACTATGTTTTTTGTTGGCACTCTCCTCACATCAGAATTCCCTCAACGCTCCCAAGATGCCCTCGGCGTCAGTGGTACGCGTCTCGGTCTTTGAGAAGTGTTTCTGACGCTCAGGTGATCAAGGGGGAGGGCGATTGCCTGCCTTGGCTAGCCCTACGCTCTGACATATGGTATTATACTGCGCAATAGTGACGCAGGTGGGTCATTCTTACAGACCATTATGCGCTTAGACAAGTTTACGACTATCCATGGGAAGGACATCATAGTATTATCAGGCCGGACAGTTTTTCCTCCGATGTCGGCCAGGAATTTGGAGGACGAATTAATGGAGGTCC